TTGTATAACGGAGAGAAAAACTTTTAAACAACACACATAAATACAGGTTATATTAGAATAAAAGAAAAACAGTCCAAAAAGTACACTAGCATTTTGATTGCATGTGATTTGGATGGAACATAAAGTCAAAATGATGGGCGTAAATCATCTCCAAAAACATGGTAATACACCATGTTGGAAAAGAATAACCATTAATAATACATCACATTATTATTTAATCAAAATAAACAAAGTGGTTTTATACAGATCTTTATGCTCACAGAGATATTAGCAGATATAATGGAGCGTAAATATGCAAGTGCCCCCTTTAGAAACGCATAGGAGGGATGGGTTGTTTTTAAGTATTCAACAAGAGAGCTCTCTCTCCCGTCCCTGTCTCGGACACTCCACTGAAACTCCCCGGCCATATCTCCAGCTCTTTGAAAAGGTGAAACCAATAAGATTAAATCGGACAAAGAATTTTTTCTGTAAGTGTATCATTAAGATTTAACTCCACAGATTGGAAAGGGGCTCCGCAGGAGAAGAGGAGAGTAGAGTGAGAGGGACAGCGAATGGGAGCAGGGTAGGGGCTCTAATAGAAAGCTGGGAAACGGCGAGAGAAAAAGGAGAAAGTGGACAGCAGGACATTAAAAGAAGAAGCACCAGCGACGGCGGTTACCAGTAGAGGAGCAGCTTTCCACCTGGATAAAACCAGCCACCCATAAGGCAAGTAGAATATTTATTTCTCACTTCTCCTGCGCTACACACGCATGGCTCTAAATACAAGGGTAAATTCTCTGTGCCACGCCACATGACCGTTAACTTCAAACCCTGTAGCCGACCCGGGCAGTGTCAGAGTCACAACTTTTTAACTAGTGAACAGTCGCTTCTTTTCTGCACATTATCACCGACCATCGAGTCTCGTTTCTCCGCTTCCCAGCTGTCCTCACCGATTTGTACATCAGATAGTAGTAATGTTATTACAGGCTGGTTGCAGTACCGCTGGACATGGGAGCTGGGGTTTTTTTTACGCGTCCCGTGCACCTCACCTGCAAGGCTATTTGTTGTTTGAACACATAATGAAAAGATCGATAGCAGGCTGTTTGTCTCAGCGATAGTGTCACCGGATTGAAAGGCTGATCAAGAAGACCAGCCGTTGCACATCTTTTACACTGTTTTCCAAGTGCCAGTTTAGCCACTACACTACACTGCCAGATGCAAATATTATAGATTGGCGCAAAATCCCATGCACCGGTAAGAGCACATTGTGTGTTAGAAAAGGCTGCAATGGGGAAATGTAAGATGACATACAGCGTGATTTATCAAAGCAGCATTATTGATGTAAAGGGACCGTAATGAAAACTGATATAAAATAAATAATGGAGCAATGTAGGCCAGGTTAACTTATTCCAGGACAAACTGCACGTCAATCAGCTTTTAAAAATAACCTTACATAATAACATTTAACTTAATCCTCCAACGGGTGCACACAGTTCATGCTAATTAATCATTTTATATGACCCAAGTTATTCATTTCCTATTCTTTAAGTATTCTACCTTTTCTTATTTGAACAGTAAAATATGCATGTCTTCATAATCTGCTAAATCACTGAAAACATGTAAAGAATTACATAATCACAATATTATTAAGCATGCCTTTCAGGTAATGGATGCATTTGCGCATTAGCAGCCGTCTTACATATACTATAAACTACTGCTTTCATAATTAGGGAATATGGTGGAATATTTTAATTCAATCTGACTATTTCTATTTTAACTAAAATTGAATAGCCTATTCCACGAATAAATTATCTATGACTGTTTAAATTTCCCCATGTATGGTAGTTTTGTCAAACGACCTCATTAGTTAAACATTTATAGGGATAAAAAGCAACAGTTTTGCCAAATCTGTGTTGATCAATAACTTATGCTCTTTTTACACAGATACAGTAGGACGTTGTAGGCGCACGAAATGCAGCCTTAATACAGCTGAAACCAACAGGCAGCACAATCAATTGGGGAAACACTGAGGTCATAAGTGCAAGGCCCCCCAATAAAATAACAGATGACTACAAGATCGCATTTTGGAGCAATTAAAACGATGCAAACGGATATAGAGATTTACAAATGTTTGAGGGGCTGTTTATTATTGATTGTGTGTAATCACAGTAGGGTTATAACCCTAGAATATAGCCAAAAAGACATTGTATGGGCTTAGAGGCTGATTCGCTTTTCCAGGGGGCCTTTGCTCAAAACGCCTCCTGTGTACACACTGCGTTATGTTTCTGGACGCCGGGGGCCACATTCAGCTGAGGCTGATCCCTGACACTTCAACGCCTGACTGCAAAATTAAAAAATAATTCAAAACAGCCACAACAAATAAAGTGACGAACACGTTTTCTGCGTGGAACCGTGAGCATCGTTACACGTCTCCATGTTGGGTCCTGGCTGTTTGTTTGAATAACAGACACTGATTAATAGTCAAATCGAGCATGCGTGGCAATAAGGTGCAGCACCAAACCCTCAAAATAACTTTACACTTGTTGGGCTGAGCTTCTGTGAAGTATGGAGAGGTTTGTCACTAATTAAATTATTTTCATGAAAAATGAAGTGATTCCAGATTTAATAAGTAAATAAACACTTATGCGCTCCTGGCAATGGCATTACACGGTTTCACCTGTTATTTGGTGTGGATGCTAACTTGTAAATTATTTTATATTGTTTTATACATTTTCCTAACATAGGGGTTTGCTAACATTAGGACAATGTGTTTCACGTTTGGCATTAAAGCCAAAGTAAGATGCAGATGTAAACAGCATAAATGTCACAGCATAAAGACAACACATATCTTTAGTCCCCTGTCTATATCTCAACGATACGTTTTCAGGACAATTTGTTTTTATAAATGGGCTTCCGGATTATTTGCTTTCCATATATAAGCAGTAACCCTGCAGTGTCATACTGATTTATGTTGTTTTAGTTTAGGTAACTAGGGCGAATTATAATTTTTTTTTTAATTAAGATGAACACGTCAAATATAAAGTGACATTTCGACCTGTTTGAAACAACAGTGATTTTGACTTTGGTTTTATAAGAGAACCTAGTTGCTACAGTGAAGTTAGTGTAACTTTCCTCAACACCTCTATAGCCTATAAAAATGGCACTTGGAAAAAAGGAGAAAAAAAAGGCAGATCTTCACCGTGCGCAGTGCGCAAAACAAACACTAACACTCATATTTCTGCAAGTCCTAATTAAAAAAAAATCAAAATTTTAAAAATCTAACTTATTCTCTGTTTGAACTGGGGGTTTTGTTGCATTGAGTGGTTGTGTGTTGAAAGGGGAGGAGGGGGTGAGGGGTGTGTGTGTGTGTGTGTGTGTGTGGGGTGGTGGTGGTGGGGTGGGGGGTTGCTTCTTTTTGTCCAAATCTGATCCCCAAATTATTCTGGGGGCTCAGATTGGTGTGAAAGGGACGAGAAGGTCACTTGAAATCGCCTTTTATCCGCTGGCTTTTTTTCTATGGATCAGCAACTTTCAATAGACATAATCTAATCGCTCTTAATGGAAAGGCCATTCGTGAGAAATAGTGGAAATATCGTTGAGCCTATAGGCTACAGCCATTTAAGACCGAAGCATTTAACAACCAACAAGGGTTCACAAAATACATTAATTATTACTGGACACTAAAAACGTCTCAAAGCAGGGAAAGTTTACATATCACTTTAAAACCCACATATGCAAACAGCAGTGTGTGTACTCAGGGTAGATATAACTGTGTGTATTATAACTCTTAATTACTATGTTCCTTCATTATAATACTGTGTACGATTTTTAAATGTATCCTTTCGCCTTAAAAGTCATTTAGCGTAACTGTAAAATTGCATTACCAGTGTGAATCATCCTAGATATGATTGTTTATTTCCTCATTATTTTGAATATGGCCTCGCGTCTCCAGAGATTTGAGATCCTTCACTTTTAGACGTGATGAATGAAAGTCTCTTTCCAGGGTTTTTTTGCATACCAGACTATAATTGAGGACAATAACTGCAGTGACTTTCCCAATTAGGCTTGAGGTTGGAGTTAAGTTAGAGGGACTGTCAGTTTAAGCTATGGGCAATGGCTTTATTGCTCACTAACCATCATTTCTTTAGAGCCTATGTGCTAATTACTTTGGATGGTCCCAGAGACGTAGATTATAAATCCATTAGCACCCAAACCCTCGTGGTTCCACAGTGCAAACACTGTAATTTTGTAGTACACCAAAAAAACCAAACTTTAAGTACCAGAAGCAAGATGAAGGGAAACAGATTTTCAGCAGCATGTGTACTTCTTAGGGATCCACTGTGAAAGGAAGCCATAGCGTACATCAATCAGCAGCTAAGCCGAAACACACAGAGTAAACTAAGCATAACAGAAAATTAACTGACAGGCGAAAATGTCTCATCAGATGTGTTTTGAATGTCAGTGCCGGTGGTTATGTTTAAAAACCTGTTTATATTACTGTGTCAACTTATTGCAGCACTGTAATCATAAATGATCAACACAACACAATTTTAATATTGTGGGTTCTATTTTTATGCAAGTTTCGGAAATCATTTATTCTTATTCCCAAAGTGCCTGTGAAACATCCAGGGAGCGACGCAGCCTTAAGGAATAAAGTGAATTAAAATAAGACTTAATACCTGTTTGACTGCGTTTAAAGAAGGCAATACAAAAACCGGGACCTAAACGGGGCTGCGCGAAGGCATCTCACCCTTTAAGTAATTTATTTCGGGGAAACCGGAGGGCAAAGGTGGAATTCTTGAGAAATTCAACAAGGATAAGGGAGCTTTAGGAATTCTGCACGCAGATTACCTTTCATCCCATCCTCACATTATCCGACAACACACAGTAGAAATATAGCTCAGCGACAAAAGAGCGAGATTACCCTCCGACACAGAAGACTGCAAAACAATTTTTAAGAAGTATTGCGATTATTAGGGGAGCGAACAAGGAGAGCGAGGCAGAGGAGAGAGAGAGGGGGGGGTGGAGGAAGGGTGATTCCCTGTGTGCTTTCAAAGGGGGGGTCGGGGGAGCAAAAAAAAGGTGACATAGCTCACAGTGTCCTGTCACTGTCACAGAAGTGGATGGTGTACCCATCTAAAAAGAGTTTACCCATCCTTTTATGCTGCCATAAATATTTATTCACATCAAACACAATATGAAACTGAGAAAAGCTGACCCAGGAGTTTATATAAACAAATTAGTTCTCTTTTAGAACTTTTGTTCATACTGTTGGTTATAATTTCTTGCTGACACTGGGTCAGTTTGCCCCCTTACTTTTGCCATGTAACTAAATGAGTGGCATCACATCAGCACTGCATTATTCCCCCCCCATTTTTTTCCAAAACCAACACACAGCAGGGGCTTAATTAGAAATGTAGTGTAGCTGAACCACCAGCAAGCACACTGGTGCAGTCTAGTTTACATCAGTACAGAGAAAACAGAAAATAATGTCCCCACAAACTCTCAGAGGCAGTTTAGTGACAAACATATTTATTTATTTACGTTTAGCAACCTTGAAAATATTTTGTGCCATTAAATGAATGTATATGGGGACGTAAAGCTGCAATCAAAGTTTAACTTTTATTTCAACCCTCCTAAACATTTGAAATATTAATTATAATGCTTAAAAATAGAATAGATTAGCAAACACAGCAATAGTGTGAAATATAATTTTAATATATCATACATTTCTAATTGAAAGCACTATTAAAATAATATTTAAACCAAAAGATACCCCTCTCGCTGCCTCACCCACACACATACACATGGACAAAAACCCTCTTGAGACTTGTGTATTTTCATTTGAAAGGTGTGTGTCTGGTGTTTGCATGTGTGGGCACATGTGTGTAAAAAAGACAGTGAAGTGAAGGTGGCCTGTGTTTAGTGTCCAGACCTGGCAGATTGTGACCTTATCAATGTGAAACTCTTAAGATAAATTATTCATAGCACCTGTTTGATGTCTCCAGCCAAAGAATGACAAAGGTGTAAGATTTGAGATGCATCTTAAAGCCATGAATATCAGTTAGTGTGCTACCTCTCTCTTTTTTGGAGCAGGAAAAAAAAGGGATGGGCTGCATTTTAAACAACAAAAATGAACAATTTGTTTTCTAACAGGGGCCGCAGAAGAAAGCGACCAGAGAACCACCGTAGATTGTAAGTGTATGCTAATCTTCATTTGCAGATACTTTAATACAACTAAAACCTAACTCAGTCTACCATTTTCATTGTGCAAGGTGTGGCTCTTGTCAGCCATTGTCTTGATGTCATGTGACTCACAGGTGTCCAGTCACTATGTCGGTCACTGAAGTGGGCCACCCACATTGTCACTGCCTGCTTTATCCTCACTTTAATTTGAAACTCGAAGCAGAGTTTGTGTGAGTGATTCAGTGGAGCTAACCTTGTCCTTTGTAACTGAGTTTGTGTTGTGTCTCCTCGCAGGCAGAGAGCGACATGGCGGGCAGGCGTTCGGAAACACAGCAGGAAGCGTCAGTGTGGGGCAAGGAATGACACTGGGATGGGATATAATTTATGGCGAGTGCCGTTTGATTATAGGACAGTGACGGTGATACCACTACTTAGTATGAGTGTTGGGATCACTTGACATGACAGCCATGCAGTAACAAGCTTATTGTACTTAATCATACATGTGGTAAATATAACAACAACGGTAAATGAATAGTCTCTCAGAATAGATTTTAAGAGGCTGCCCTCCTGGAATTTTATTGCTCAGTTCAAATTTTGTTTTTTCATTAAGCACATTGTTGGAGTGTGTGTTTAACAAGTACTATTCCAAGATTGTCTGCTAAGCCAAGCATCCTGGAACTCAAATTCTTCCTCAATGATTTGTTTTGGAAAAAGACCATAGTATACTTTTTGGGAAACTGGCAGCTGTGCTTTTCATAGCTACAGGTCAACATAACACTCAGTATTAATAAAACAAATAAGACTGGGATGGATATTAATGATGATATATACAGATGTACTACACATGGGCTTGAATTATGTGTGAGACACTCTCACAGACACTCTCACACATGTTTGTGTGTTTACTTGTCTGTGTGTGTGTGTGTGTGTGTGTGTGTGTGTGTGTGTGTGTGAGTGAGTGCCTGTGATAGCTGAGTCCATTTCCCTCAGATGCTACCTTTGACCCCACAGTCGGGGTCAAGCCCTGACAAATGAGATGGTCGAGTTCTGGCCAGAACTGCAAACATTCCACAACAATCTTCTGTCCTCCTCCCCTCTCTTCATATCCGTCATTCCTCACCCCTTCCCTCCTCTCAGTGTGTCTCTTCCACGGCTTGGAGAAAGTCAGAGAAAGTTCTCATTACAAACAAAAATGCTTTATTGTATTTGCTGTGGGAATCTTAAAGCACACACCCTTAAAATTACAACAAGAATTACAACGTCAGCGCTAAATTGACCATCTTTGACATCTTCCTTGTTCACAGAAGGAAAGAAAACAAAAGAGGATGATCTTAGAGGAGAAGCTGTGTTAAAGATTTGGATATTACAAACCTGCACTTTGAAAGCACACTGTGTGTTTGGAAAGCTTGTCAGTGATGTCAAGGATGAGAAATGTTGCAGTGTGGCTTTTTACACACGCTGCTGGCTCTAGCATTTCCGGCAACATTTCTCACTCTGCCTCCCTCACACCATCCGCTCTGCTGCAATATCCCCACATTTTTCCATCCTTTCACTTCTTCCCCTACCCTCCCTCCCTCCCTGTTCGCCTTCTCTCTGCTCTCTGACCACTCTTACCCTTCCTCTCTGCTGCACCACCCTGCCCAATCTCAGCCTATCCCTCCCTTCTCTCTCCTCACAGCACATTCAGCCCACCCACCCCCCCTCCTCCACCCACTATTTTCACAGATTTTCAAACATGCCGTTCCACAGAATACTACCACCTGTGTCTTTAGGGAGAAAAGGGGGGGTTGTATTGGTATTCCTCTTCGGGAAGCTGGTTAAGGTAAGTGGCACCCTCTATTACAATGACACGGCAAATAATGGTTCTGCTTGTGTTTCTGTATTACCTTTTTTTCATGGAATGACCCCGGCTTCCTAAGCATCACCACCCTCCATCAGAGCTCTAGCTACAAGTCACTGCTGTAAAAACACACATAGTCACTATTGATGAACGTCAGCAGAGCAGCCACAGTGCCACAAAAGGAGCCTGGAGACCAACAAAGCTGGCTGATACAGTAACACTGAGTGGATCATGCTCTTGAACTTGCTTTCATAATGATGTAATATTACTAAAAGGCAATGCAACACAGCAAAGACCTTAATAAAAACACATCAATCTCGATATGTGTGTATGTGTTTTTTTCTCTTCACTCCCAGCTGAATTGTGATATCATTTGATGTCGGCTGTTATGTGATTCATCGGAGGGTACAGCTGCTTCACATGGATCTTGGCCTGGACAGGACTGTTTCCTCACAGGGCAGCTGATCACATGACTCAATCACAGGGATAGATCTGAGCTCTAATTGGACGCACAATGGGCGCATCACTGTGGCGAATCGGGGTGCATGTATACAGCTCTCTGAATAGTAAAATGGTGGGTTGTGTTTTGCCTTCCTAGAGGGCAGTGAGTTCTGTGTATGTCTGTGGGTGGGGAATCCTAGATCAAGCACTGTTGCTATGATGGTCTACAATGTACAAGAATATGTCAACACTAAGACAATGCACATAGCTCTACAATTGAACTGTAACAATGAAATGCTACGTGCGAAGTTGTGCAGCTGGAATGGTAAGAAAAGAGGTTTCAGTATACATGTACATTACTGCAGGGCTCTAGCATCTTCCTGATTCCTCTCTCTTTCTCCCTCCATTCATTCACATCCAAGTTATGTCCACGCATTAATGACCAGTTGGCTGCCTGTATGTTCAGTTTAAATAAATAATAAAGCTCTCCTATCGCTCATCACCACCAGCCATCAACTTGGTGGGGTTAAAGCAGGCAGCAAGCGACAGGCAACATGGAAAATATGTGTAGGCGTATGTGTGAAATCATGGCCATGTCCATGGTGCAGTTCGGCTGATTGTGTTTACGTCCCTTTCCTCCTCCTCCTGCTCTGTATGTCCACAGGCAGCTCAAGGATGTAAAGGAAGGGCTCAGAGCCACTTGATTCCCTGCCACCACCCACCGTTACCCCAGTGTTACCGGAGCGTGCATGTCTGCCCCTGTCCCCCAGAGCCTCAGACCCACTCTCCCCCACCCCTCCTCAACCAACACGCACCCACCAACCCAGCCCCCCCCCCGACCCCCAATCCCTCCACCTCCCTGCCTCGCTCCCTGATTCAGTGTGTAAAAGCGCCCCCTGAATGATGGATTACTGTGTCACCGCAGCCTGCGAAGGATTAATTTGTTTCATTGATTTCTCTTTAGGCAGAATGCCAGCGTCTGCCGCTTCCCACCTTTTCCCCAAGACTCGCAGCTGTAATAGACGGTAATGGCCTAAGACAAATCAACCCGTTTCTTGTAAAAATAGCACCAAATAACCCTCCCCACCCTCCAGCCTGCACTCTACTCAGAAGCACATCTGGGAGTGGTGGTGGTGGGGTATCATGGGGTGTTCGATTCATCCTCATCCTCCATCTCTATCAGTCTATCTGGCTATCCTTCCATACCATGGTCCCTCCTTATCCTGTGCTGAGCCAGAGGAGACCATCCAGTCACTCTAACAAAGCCATAAGTCTGCCGTACTTACAGCTCCCTCTCAGGCCTCACAATGGATGGGTAATGACAGCGCTGTCTGGAGGGGGCTGTGGGAGTTGGGCCATTCTCTCCAGTAATGGAAGCAGTTACTGCCATTCCCTATACACCTGCAGGAACAGCTAACTGTTAACCACTGTGATCTATGGCAAGGCCTTACCGCACTAGGCTAAGGTTGAAGGGTTGTACTGACACCACTGAATTAGGGCATGTCTGCACAACACATCTTTTTTTCTGACTTTGCTATGGTGAATGAAGTTATTCTACTGTACGTTGAAAGCTACAGAAAGGCATTGAGGTTATTTATAAACAAATGTGTTCCAATGAATCAGTGTTGGTACAGCTCTTAGCACGGCAGACTGACAATCCAGCATTCCTGACATTCACTGATTTAACGCAGACATAAGATGCTGCCACATCTTTACTACCCTGTCACTGCTTTGAACGATGGGAAACCCAAACTGCCTGTAACATTAAGCACACCACTACAGGCTGACTGTCCTCGAACGCTTTCCAATCCCACAGAGATTTACGAGCAGAACCAGATCCATTAATCCATTGTTGATTTGCTGTGGCTGCCCTGCAGGGTTTTGGGGATCAGATATCATACAGTGCTGAAACTCACGCCGTTGCACAGCGGGGTAGACTGTAACACCCTGACCAGTGCTAAAAATGCTGCACTAAACATTAGGAAATTAAATACATACAAAATTTTACATTTTTAAATTGATGGCACATTTTAAATTCCTGCATGTCTACCACCAGTCGTATTCACTCTGGACAGATATATGAACTTTTGAAAGAAAACACTGTTACTGACATAAAAAAAAAAAAAAAAACATAAACCACAGTGACAATCCATAGAGGGCTCAGTACGAGTGAGTTAGAGCTTGTACACAATGTGATAATGACCCAGGCTGCAGGGAAATCTCATCAGCTCCCTGCAATCAATTTAACAGTGTTTACAAAGCCACAGGCTGGGGTTTGTGCTTGGGGACAGAGCACTGGTCACCTGGTGTTCCACTAGATCCCCCTGCTAAGCTGGCCTCTCCTGGGTAAACCTCCACAAAGCCCCCTCATGTCTGACACCACCAGGTCCTTCAAATAGTGCTCTCAGACAGAGGATTAGGTAATCTCACCATGATACTGTCTTTTTCGCTATTTCTATCACTTTTCCTCTCTATCCCTGCATTCTCATACCTTACATCCTCCCTCCCCTCTCTCTCTCTGGCCTGTTGAAGTGCTTGTTCTACTTAGAGCACATCTATCCTCAGGGGTCCTTACATTCTTAAGTGCCTCCAGAAAAGGTTAGTTGGCAGGTAATTGTCCAGCTGTGGTCGGGCTTATCTTAATTGTGGGTGCTTGAGTGCAAGCTACACTTCCTTTGATGAAGAGACTTACAGTATGTGGAATAAAGGCAGAAGATAGGAGGATGGGATGAGAAATGGATTTAACATTTTTTAACAAGTGTATTTGATATTTTTCCTTTGCTAACTTGTGCTTTATACTTTACAGTTAAAGATTAACCATGTGTAAGAGTATTTTTTTATTTGAAAATCTAAAACTTTTTGGATATGACATATTATTTACATTTATATTTCTAATTTTATGCCTCTATTGTCCATTTTTCCAAAACGTCTTTTCAATGCATCACTGAATGGTTTCCTTTATAGCAAACTCAATGTGTGTTTTTACAAGGGATCCTACACATGCATAGTGGAAAAAGCAATGCTGACCTCACAGTGTTCAAATTTAAATGACTAGGTCTTCTGCTGCTCTAAATCTATACTTCTATTAGCCATCTGATCATATATATATTTATATATATACACGTGTCGATAGGAAGCTTTAGGGGGGTTAGTGTTTGCGTTGCTCCAGTCAAAGGTCATGACTGACCAATAAAATATTTCCAGAGCACCATCAATAACACCGACATGCAGACTAATACAGTATGGGATTGTGGGTAGGGGGAGGAAGCCTGCTGTGCTTGCTTCGAGCAGAATGGATGAACAAGAGGCCAAAAGGTTATTGGACAGACTTCGGCCCCCTGCCCCTGCACCCTCTCATATGTGCATTTGATAGCGACAGGGGCAATTATAAAGGTATACTTCAGACAGGTCAAATGGGAAAGGGCAAAGTGCAGAACCTTTAAAGCACTGGCTGGAGTCAAAGGTTAGGACGGACATAGGACATCATAGTGTGCCACTGGGCAAGAGGTAATGGAATCAAAGCTATAAAGACACAGACTTATGAGAATGATAAAATCATCATATCTTCTCTTCATTTATGTTTTGAAAATTACATGAGCCGTTCATGATCAGAATGTCAAATTAAATCAATTTGGCTTGCCTACAGTAACTAGTTGTTTAATGTGTTTGTGTGGTGTGTGTGTGTGTGTCCATACACTGTACGTTGTCTGAGGAACAAACAGGCTGCATGACTATTAAATATGAATAACCCAAGGTTAAGGAAGGTCGTGGCATGCATTTAGCACCAGTGACCAATGCCAAATGTAAAGGTCAAAGTGGAATTGCCTGAGACGGAGCAATACAACGTTTGCTCGTGCACATTTATGCATCCCATTGGCAGTGATTTATAGAGGGAGATAAGCGTACAGATGGGAAGAAAACACTCTCTTTCTCCTATCCCGTCAGACTCGGTAAATACACTACTCACTCATATCAATCACCATGTCACAGTGAATCGCCACTCTATGCTTCCTGCTCAGATTAAAAACTGCCTTTGTCTTGCTCTGCCTTCTCCCTCCAGCTCTGGGGAACACACTAGTGGTATTGTTGCTATTTCACAAGCTCTATATTAGCATTTCAAACAGCTGTGGTACAAAAGTAGGGAGTATGTTCAAAGTCAGTGGTGTGCTTTAGTTATGTGCCATCTTCCACGAATAGATTCCATACTGTATCAATCATACACTATAGATGTACGGTCCTCAATTGATCTCAAAACTGCTGAGGAGAAAATGGTATGCTTTTAAAGAAATGCTGTTATGGGACAAAATGCTTTTTCTAATATGATGTTCCCCCACTTCTGTTTACTTCTAGCCCTTGTAGAGACTGTTGTGTAATTTTATTCTCTTCTAATAGGCTTCATGCATTTGGTTTGCATAAAAGAAACGAACCTCTACACTGTTACTTTCATCAGAATTTCATCAGAGTTCAGGTTGGAGCAGGTTTTATGCTTCAACAAAAATAAACATACACATATAAAACTGCTGATTAAAATTATTTTCCTGTCCTCTGCAGTACAACATTTCTGTGCGGCTGCCAGATGGGCTGTTAAGCATTTTGCAGTAGCAGCCGCTCTGGGGGGGCTTTGACTGGGCCAACGATTAACTCTATATCCCGGCTTTTAGAAATTTGTAGGCCTCTTGAACGTGAACATGTTTCCCATGTCCCTTTGGCTCCTTAAATGTGAAAACCAGCCTGTCACTGGTGCGCCACAGCTTTCGCGAACTACCCCCAAGTGGTTCAGAATCCAGCCAGAGAAAAGTCCAAAAAGAAAACATGCTTTTGAACTGCTGGCCAAAACGGAAACATGGTCTAGTAAGCTGCTTTTTAACCTGAACCATAAAGACCAATTTTTCCTTTCCTTCAACAGTAATAAATGTGCTCTTTTCCTTTATTACACATATTATGTTTTTCCATAGTAAGATCAAAGGGTGATAATGCGCGACACCATAGGCGCCAGTGTATATTACCTGACACTTTATGTTTAGTTCTCCATCAGTCTGCATTTCAGTTTGCTCGCATTTTTAATATGACAAAAACCTCTTTAACACCAGAAAAACTGCGGTAGCCAAAGTATAGAATGTTCCTCCTCTGGAAATCATATCAATTTCATTGCGTCGACTGTATAGGTCAGCTTTGAGGATCAGATTCTTAACATTTTAATACCAGCAATGACATTTCCCTACACACCAGCCGATCCACCATCTACCCTTCCCTCCCTGTGAGAACAACAGTTCTAAAGGCCGTTTATATACAGGACGAGTTCTGTACGATCTGTCACATTCATCTCTATTTCCCATTCACCACGGGGCATTTGAACCACATCAGAATCTATTACCACCATGCAGATTCAGCCCCCGCTGACAATACAAATCATGATAAGATGGAGCAGTGACTCCATAAACACCCTTGCTTATATATCACATCATATGAGTTGGGCTGGATAGCAGATCCCACTTGTGATCTATGTGATCGTCTATTTATATGGATGGAATAAAGATATGGATATCATTACATCTCTGTCTGTCTTTAACCTGTGTCTGGTATTACCCTATTCAAACAATAGATATAAATAGTCGTGTGTCTCTATGTGTGTGTGTGTTTATCTGCGGGAGCATCCATCACTCAGCAGTAGGAGTTCCAAATCAGTTGCTTGTGAGGAGAGATTTATGCTGTAATGCATCAAATCAACAGACCTTTACAGTAAAATATGATTTTATCAATAGGCCTGATCAATAGTGCATGCAAGACGCTGTGTAATTATTATAGAGGTCCGTATCAATAAAACTGTCACGCATGACCTCCTGCCAAAGGCTATGGAACTGGGAGTCACAGACAGTCGAAGAAAGGTTTGTGTCGTTGCCCTGAGATGTTTGATTACCTGTACATAAGGTCACATCTTTGATGTCTCATAACTTATCGGGGCATCTTAGCTGAGATGAGAGTCGGGCAAAGAAAGTTATAACAGCAGAGACAAACTACTGCATTGCAATACATTTAAACCTATATGTATATGATGCATTTTACTGACCAATTAATACTACCAGGTCTGTCATTGTTAGTGAATTGTGTTTCCTTGCACCTCTGCACACATAAGAGATTATAAAGGATAGAAATGACGCAGATGACTGTCTTTACTGGAGTGAGGATCATTTGTCCTGAAGCAAGGCAATCCAACAGTGGGAGAAAGACTGTCAAAAAGAGCTTTGTATTACACTGTAGTGGGAGCTCTCTGCATTAACACACACTCACAGTCACATACACACACATACAGTACACCAGAGAGAGAGCGTGAGGCAGGGACCAATGAGGCAGTTTATATCGGGATTTTGTTTCACAGCCACGGCCTCCTGGGAGAGAGGGGTCTGCCAATAACACTTAAGAGACAGAGCAGGAAAAGTAAGTGCTTTTATTACAGCTCATCACTCATGTAATTTCTGGCAGCATTTGTGATTACAGATCAAGTGATTGACTAACTACACATTCGGCGGCTGAGTTATGAACCGGGTGCCTACCATTCCAGCCCCGGCAGATTCTCCGTGTCAGCTGTAACTCATCCTCTCCCAGGGTGCTAAATCAAAGAGCACACTGCGGCCGGAAGAGTTAAATAATAACTTGAGCTTTATTGTAAATCTGTCAGAAATTAAACCTGCACGGACGTCATCTTGGCCCTGATGTTGTACTGCATGGGGTGAAGAGGCGGGATGGAGGGGATCAATAGAGGCCCCGATGGAGGTATTGATGGATGACAGGTGAAGTGTATGGGTGCGTGTGTTTGTGCATGGGTGTGTGTATGTGTGTGTAAGGGGTGGGATTGAATCACCCTGGGGTTAGGTAGAGAGCACAGCTCAGGGTGTTTAATCGACAGGTCTCACCTTGAATCGATTGGCAGGAGTCTCGCAGGGCAAAAACGTGATACACACAACCAACACTTACTCACACACACCAAAACAAACCACAGGGAGTGTAAGAGACGATGGGGTGGGATGAGGGCGGATGTCTCAATGCCATCAGTACTGAATGCCTGTATGTAATCAGTGTTGGGTTTGGTACTCACAAAAGCAAATCTATGACTCAATTCAAAAGCACTTTTATTGTAGTCCTTGTCACTCTGTTGGAGCAACAGTTCCTTTTAAATGGGTTCACAAAATTAACACTAGTATCTCCTTTAACCTTTAATAAAACTGCAATCAAGGTAATTAATAGCTTTGATGTTCATTTGTATTCTTTGTCCAACTGAAATGACGACTACTGTGATGAGGAATAACAGGAACAGGAATAATATATGTGTTCAAAATTTCAATATAACTCAGAACGTAGAGGTGGTACAGTAATTGAAAACTTTACACCGTGTAAAATCAGTGCTTAAAGTAATAAAATATTAATCACCCCGGCATTACTAGAGGTATTAATATGAAATATTAATATTATTGAGAAATAAATGTACTTATATTGTCTACATATCTGAGTGATGTGTCTAACCCCACACTGCCAACATCTTATTGACAGAAGGTCCTTTTTTGTAAATGTAGATAACGAGAAAACATCACATGCGCTGTTAATAATGAAATCCTGACAAGAGGAATTACTATGTGGTTGTGGTCAGTGCTGTGGCAAAGAACCAGTTTGCATGTAGTACGAGACTAATGAAGTACCTCTCTCTGAGAAACAAAAAAACAAAACAGAGCAAAGCAGACTCGAAGAAAGCTCTGTTTCCTGTAATGATCCTACTTTGTTTTGAGGACCCTCATCATATAGTATTTTCTCACGCTCAAAAGAGCCACAGCAGCATGCATATGTGACTCATACTGCAGAGACGGGCAGCCATGAAAACACTACACCGTGAAATGTCTTACAAGAGGCCAAGATCTGAGAGGGCGTTATGTCTTTAATAAACAACATACTGTAAGTATTAAAATGAAGGAGGCTTGGTAGTATATACAGTAAAAAAAACTAAATCCTCTAAGGGCCTGTTGAAATGTGGTGATTCAAAGACTCCTACATACAGCTTTGACTGTAAGACCAAAGTCTAATGCTTTCAGATGAGGTTAAGGTTCATGAGTGTCGCTGACTGAGATGGTTGTAAGAGGAACATATATGCCAAATCATAAAGTGAAGCCCATTAATGCTGTTCTGGATTCTGTTTTAGAGAGCTCTTACAGAGCAAAAAAGGCTGTTTGTCAGTCACCTTGTCTCTAAACGTTTCGCTCAACAGAGACTGAGGACTTTCTCCCAGCTTTCATTGCTTAAACAGTGTGGAAACAGTTAGAGAGTCAAAAAAATCGGCATTGCAGAAGCAATTCAAAGTCTTTGGGGCGGTGACATGAGGAAGTCGTGTGCTTGTAAACACTGATGTAATATATAACATTGCTCAGGACATCGATTTTCAATGTCACTCCATGTTACAAAGTGATTCGCTATATCTCCAGTGGATGGGGGGAGAGCATTGTTTCAGGTAAGGCATGTCCTTGAAGTAAGGTGCGTACGTTTGTTAGTGGCCGTTTGTGCCGCCGTTCAAGCAACTACTTTGCATTTAGAAATCCCCAGACGATTGGTAGGCACTGAGATCTTCAGTCGTCTGGTATCGCCTAGTCACCTTGGAGCCAAAATAATTTAGCTTTATACGTGTTATTAAGTAGATAATAGAGTGCACATTCTCTCTCCATTAATTTTTGGGGACTAAGGGGTAAAAATGCTTTAGACACTGATGACTTTATGGATACTCTGAACATATTTTTGTTTTCAAATCGTTCACGTAACCTGACATAATAGGGTTAATATACACATTTGAAACACTACAATATCAGATAAATAAGATACATTTTCTAGGTCCAGAAGTGAACAGAACTGGATCTGCGGATTCTCACTGATTCTTCCGAGAAGTGCCAAAGGCAGAAACCCCTCTGCTGTGTGTTGGACAGTACCTGAATGGTTCAGAAGAGGAAGGGGTTGGAGAAAGAGAGATTTTGACTTGTGGTCCCAGGTGTAAGGAAGGGGAGGACATCTGAACTTGCTGTCCAGGGCTCAGATGGGAAGGAGAATTATAAATCGGACACATGAGGCCAGAGTGTAGTCTAATTCTTGAATGGTGACAAGAGGCTATCCTCTGAGTCACAGGACCTGTACATCTCCCAGGAGGTGTGGGTTTGGGTCTGAGCCTGGAACTTCTGTCACTTTCACATTTTTGAACAAGTTCAGTCAGATGTGTAGCTCTCTCCTGAAGAGAAAAAAACATATGAAAAAAGAAAGAAAAAACATATGTGAAAACAGCCTACTTGGTCCTGAGAATTTGAAATTGCTTTCTAGGGTATATAAAGGTTTTATAATTTAATTGTTAACTGCTTACGGCTAGTAAATTACTGTTTTTGCAGCAGTCCACTACTAAAGTCACACCTCAAGCCTGCCAGCCAGTTAATGTATACTTGCTTCTTTATTCCCAGCCAAAGCAATCCAATACTGCCTCTCAAATTACAAAACCACTTAGCTCTGGACATTTATAGTAAGTTTAACAAATAAACAGGTTGAGGTCCATCAGCCCTGTGATGTTACCAGGTCATTCCTTTCACTTTCTATTGTCAGCTATAATAAAAGCAAAATTAAGTTTAAATTGTACTTATTGAGACCAAAGAGAAAGAAAGGAGTAAAGAAAAATAAATTTAATATGTGCAAACATACATGTGCATGTTTGTTTCCCTTTGAAGATATATGCACCCTCCTCATGGGAAACACACCAGCAACAAGCTGGATTACTTAGATTTGTTCTTTGTGATAACAACATTAACACTCACCTTCCGAGCCCCAGCTGAAACTCTGCTATGAGCTTGCTGTCCTGTAAGTATGCGGGGAAAGGTGCTGGTATTGGGCCTGAATTGCTCTTCCTCTGACCTGGGTAAAAGATGCAAAGTAGTAAAGACTGCATCTCTGCTTCCTCTGCTTCTGCATGGTTCTTTCTTCGTTTCCCACGGCCCTGCTGTCCTGCAACCCTCCCTCTCAGCCCCCTGGTTGGATTTGATTGATGATTGGCCATTTCCTCTCCTGTCCATCCTCACAGCAGACCTGGCTATGGTTAATGCTGAATCATGAAATGCTCCATCTCCCTCATCTTTGTTTGGTCTTTCGTCAAGTCTTTCTTCTTCCTCTGCAGTCTTGCTTTCTTTATATTTCTCCTGCTCCTCAGTGGTCCTGCTCACTGGTCTCTCCAGACCTCGAAGCAACTTGAGATGAACCTGCCTGGAGTCCTGTTAAGAGGACACACAATATCTATTTAGGTTATTCCTATTGTGACACAGCTAAAATGTATAGCCAAACTAAAATGATAGGAAGAAAGGTATAGCCTGCTGCAACTTAGTCATTTCTGGGCAGACAGTGTGACTTACTAAATGTTGAGCATTACTGTAGCTTTAATGTAATGTGGTTACTTTTGTTCAGTAATCAGTAGCATAAGGCAATACAAACTCAGTAATTACATTACAGTTACTAATCCCAGTAATGCTGTATTACTTCAGCAATTTAAGCCTGGCTAGCTTGCTGTCTTACCGGGAGTTTGATGTGGGGCTGATTTCAGTTTCCTCTCTGTGTATTCAGGAGGGAGAATAGTCCAGGACATGTTGGAGGTTGGAGGTGTAAGAAGGCTGTTAGCCTCTACCAAAAAAGGTGAGAAATTCACCTCTCAGTAGCAATAGAAATCCCTTTTGTTAACAAGAAATGCACCTCCTGGTACCTCAAGTTTTCAAATGTATATGTTGTGGATTCTTTGTGGGCTTGGTAACGTAGTGAACATCACAATTTGACTGTGAGGACATTTCTGGAGTGCTGTGTGCTGTCACCAGGGCTAAGCTAGCTGCTGATGGTCAGTAAATCCCTGTAGACTGTAGAATGACTGCTCGTTAAATGACATCATCTCGTTTTCTACTTAGGATGCGTCATATGGGAATGGAAGCCTTGTAGGTTTTTAAAGGGCTCATGGAGCTGTGCTGAGAAAAAAGTAATATAACAAGTCATGTAACTAATTACTTGTTAGTAAAGTAATGTTATTACTTTTCAGTGATTAATATTTCATGAGTAACTGACTGAACTTTTCGAGAGACTGGACTTATTGTATTTAATGGATGAAAAAAGGGAAAAGATATTTAACAATGTAAAATAAATTCAGTCTTAAAACTAAGACAGCATAGTATTTCGGGTTAAAGTGCATTTAGAATACATGTATGTGTGTACTTGCACGTGCATGCATGAATGTGTATGTCTAGAGGTGAGAAAACTGCCCCGGTAAGGTTGCCTTCATCAGTTCACAGTATAATTCTAATTGGCTTTATTAGGGGGCTTAAATCTAATACCAGCTCTGTGCGCTGCCTTAGGCTCTGTGGGTTTGTGAGTGTGTGTGTGTGTGTGTATGTGTGTATGTGTGTGTGTGCGCACCTCTGTTTGATGTTTACGACTCACCAGATCTCTCACAGAATGTTTTCTATGTAACAGACATCGGTGGATGGACTAACACAGCCCTATCACAGTAATAAAACTACATTCCCCCTGTGTCTCAGCCTGGTGCAGCATAATTCTACAGTCTGAGAGCAGAGCCCCAGTCAATGGGCAAATACAGCATTTAGAGGTTCAAGTCCAATGAAGCAGCAGCACTGTAGCACCAGATGTAATGGTACAGACTTAAGGCAGAAGAAAAGCTGCATAAAACTGCACCGCAACATTTGACCCCATTTAAAAACTTGATACCAATTAGAGAGTTCTGGTTGTAAATAATTTAAGAGATCTCTCTCACTGAGCACACAAAAATAATTTTACAGGCATACACACATATATGCACGAATGTGCGTGTGCATCAGCACAATCTCACACATTAACCTATGCACATATACCCACACTCCTGTGCACATATGGACACGCACATGCACACACATAGATTCCACCATGCTCTGGAAACAGACTTCTTAATGAAGCCTTCCCCAAGTGAAAGTAGAGCAGAAATACATACTGGCCCATTTCTGCCTTCAGTTCACCCTCCTCTCCTCGTTCTCTCTCTCCCTCACCTTCTGCATATCATTTGTTTTATTCATGTTTCGTTGTCTTTCTCTGTTGTCTCAATGAGTTAAATCACAACCCCTAATTTATGGCTACAGGCAAAGACAATTCTACAAACAAACTGGCTGATGAGAGGAGATGACTGAAAACATACGCGCCGAGCGGTGTGTGTAAATCTTAAAATGTCTGTTACTGTCTTTTTATCTATGGTTATTTACATAAGAAATGACAACGTGTGTAAAAGAATGGCTGTGATACAAAATGTAAAAGGCTGTGCACTGGAGGAGAGAGTAAGTGTGAGAGAGGAGGGGAAGAGAGAGAGAGTAAATCCAGTGACACTGAGTGGGGAGCACTCAGGTGTGGTGAGAGGATTATACAAAACCCTGAGAATGAATGACAGTAAACACCTGAATGACAGAGAGATGGGGAGGGGTGGGAGCTTGAGTGTGTGTGTCTGTGGGTCTGGGTGACAGTTTAGTGGCCCTCGCTGATATTCTGAGAGGTGAGAGAATATATTCACCACTTAATATTTTGATGGCTGTGCTGTTTACTCAAGTGCAACTTGTTATATTGTATCATTCATTACTGATATGTTGATTTACAACATGTGTAAAGAAACTGAAACAATGAATGAAAGGATTTGAGAAGCAAACAATGGGTGCGTGGGAATGTGGATGTCAACAAGGCAGGCAGAGAGTGTGGAAGAGGAAGATATCAATCAGGAGCGATCCACTGCAAGAGTTAGGGAGCTGCTCAGTTAGCAAGCGAGTTACAGATTGAGCTATACAGTATACAAGTAAGTCAATAAAAGGGCTATAGAGCAAGAAAGAGGAGACACGTATGTTTATCTTACTTGCACTGGGTTTTCTGTCTCTGTGCGCTCTGTCGGTAGGGGATTGCTGACAAGGTCTCTGAAGCAAGCTTCAGTTTCTGGGTGAGCACATTCTCTGTTCTTCTCTCTGCTCCCTGAAACACAAACACAACTCTCAGCACCCACCTCCAATCAACACGTAATGTGCTTTTTTGTCTTCTTTATTCCAGTCTTTGGTTGTGAGCATGGTTATTTGTGACTTTTCAGTTGCCACATCATGTTATTTAAAAATGATTTAGAAAGAGAGTGTGTTGATTTCTATTGCTGTGCAGCTGAGTAAGCTGAAGGCACGTCAAACTTCTTATGCAATAATGTTATGCTGTGTTATCAATATGACCCTGTTGATTTTTCTTGACTTGGATGATTTAGTTGGATAAAAAGCAAGTTATTTTTGCAAGCCATTAGCAGGAGTGCCAACACATTCGCCCCCTCTTGTGGATGCTCAAATGTGTTTTTAACCTTTGGCTTAAGGTTAAATTCCGAAGAGAGCAATGCATGTCGATTCCTAGATCTGCTCTTAGTGAAATCCCTCACCTCTAGAGCTATATCACTGTACAGCGCTGACTCTACATGAAGCGTGACCCCGTTTCCCCCACGGCGACCCCCTCCTTCCCTTCACAGCCTTGGAAGATAGAGGAGCACAGGGGAAATGCATGCCAAGGCAGTAGACACTTTTAAGCAAAGATTAAAGGTTTTTCTTTTTAATCAGTCATTTGGCAGCGATGTTAGCATTTCACCCTGGTGCGGCTAAGGATCAATTTTTAATGCTGCTGTGCAGAGAGCAGACAGGGTGATTGGCAAGAGAGAAGCTATTTACAAAGGATCTATTTACAAATTTTCCATAGAAATATGCAGAGGGCACAATTGACATCTCTTACAGAATTTTAAATCAGCTCTCTCCCTTTTTTCACTTCGTCACAAGGCACGACCTCTGTGAGCCCCTGATGATCACTGCTCTGTGTGTGTTCACTCATATGTGTCTCACATGTAAGAATAATAAGGAATCTACACCTCTCCCCTGTGTTGCATTGTGTTACTTTTCTCCATGTTGTGTTGCCAGGGGCTGGGTAACTAGGTCAATCAACCCGGGTGTAAACACATCATAAGAATACACCAAGAACATGCTAATGACAATGACTGTTTTTAAATATATACCGTATCTCTCTACTTTTCCCATTCTTCTATGTCACATTAAAGCTTTATTTATATAGTATAACTCAATTTAAGGTTGTGTATATCTAAAGAAAAATAATAGTGGGTAGCGAGCTACCATACATAATAGATATACTGCTGTATGTCCACTCAATAAAAAAACTATAGCAAAAGTCTAAAAACGTAAGGGCAAATAATATAAAGTTGTTTTTTTAATTAAATTTTGTGCAAAGAAATGTTTGTTTGAACTTACAGGAAATCTCAGTGAGATTTGACAATTGATATATTCAGACCCATACAAGTTCATGTTTAAACAGACCTGCCACTGCTGTCACACCATGCATCAGTCTTCAAATCAATCCATATATCCATCCATCCATTATCCAACCGTCTATTCACCCGTTATCCAACCATACATTCATTCACACAGTCAGGCGGCCTTCCAGCCGACCAACCCACACACCATTGATCCAATGATTGACCCTGAACTGGGTGGATCAATACTCTCTTGAATGGCATCATTGTAAGCGCTTAGGCACAATGGCCCGGCGTTGTTTGTGCAGTTCATTTCTAAGGTAGCAAGGCCATGCAGGGCTCTAACCCGTGTCAACTCTCCTTTCTGCTCCGCTCATATGATCACAGCAAAGAGAAAAGAGGGGGCAGAGAAAGGGGCATTGAGCAGCCTGTATCTTATACGCATGCAACAAAAGGGACAGTGGTCCATGCAGAACTAGATGTAATGACTCACGACTATTAGATACTTCAGATAGAGATGTCTATTGATACAGCAGGATAACAGACACATAACTGCACTGTTACACAGGCAAGTAGATAGATAAGAGTAATAGCATACATTCAAACATTTATAGATGAAAGAAGTCATATGTGATGGTGCAGATCAACATAATGAGGTGCAAACTGAGGGTGAAGTTAAACAAAACCACCATGTGCAAGACAAGCATTTCATCTCCACTTTCACCTCAGATAACTCCAATACTACTCTATGTTAGCAATGTAGTATTTTAAAGAAATAATTACTGTAGATAACTGTGGTAAAGGTATTGTTTGGAGGAGCAGTAGTATTCAGTAGGCTCATGCTCAGTATACCACTGTGCAGCCTATTGTGGCTTGGTGTGCAAACAGAAACCCTGCTGGGTTAGAGCTAGGGCTGGGTCTTGGCATTAAATGACTGGGACTCTGACAAGTCTCGGAGTTCTGTCACTGTGGTTCACAGGTCTTGTTAGCCAAGGTGTCGGCAGGGCTGGAAATGACTGTGTGTGAGTGTGTCTGTGTGTGTGTATACGTGTGTGAGGTGAGCATTAGACAGCACTCCTACCTCCACCTCCTCACCTGACACCAGCAATAAAACTAAACAGGCCACAGTGCAATGCTGTGTGTGTGAGTGCGTGTGTGTGTGTGGACGTGCACACAGAAAAAAAGGGGCATGTGTGCTGCAGGGTTGTTGCTGCTGTCACCAATTTGCCGGGGCCTCCAGACGGGAGTAGGAGCAAGGTGACGGAGCTGTGGCTTGATAAACACAGAAGCCCTGCTTCGATTTCCCATCCAGTCCACTTTGGAAACACATGGCTCTTCCTGGGCGCTCTTGGCCCGGGGAAGAAGAAGGAGGTGGAGGAGGAGGGGGCAAAAGGGGAGGAGGGGAGGAAGAAGGAGAGCCACAAGGGAGACATAGTGATGGTGTGCAGTGAGGGAGAAAGGTTGTGAGAGCGAGAGATGGGGGGGAGGTGGTAGAGATAGGAAGAGGGTAGAAAGAGGTGGCAGGCCTGATGGGATCAGGTGTATTTACTTCCAAAGACATGCCAGACCTTCCATGCTTCCATAGACTAAACAGAAAGAGAAAAAGAAAGGAGAGGAAAAATGAAAAAGAGACGGATGTGAGTTGTGGAAAATTTGACTGATCCTCTAAACAACTTACACTTTCAAAAAGATGCTTTTAAGGTGAAAACAGAGGCATACAATCTCTTAACCTCCTCTTCTTAGTACCCCCCCCCCACACACACACACCTCTTCAATCTCTTTCCCTTTTGCTTGGAAACAACTTGCAGTGTTCCGCCTTTCAACTGACATCAGAAGTTTAAAGACCAACTCCAGTTGGAGAAACAGAGGAGCGTCAGTGAAGGAGGTGAGGCACCAAACTCCCCTCTGCCCCCCTAGAGAGTTAAGGAGATCACATTTTAACCCCCCCCCCACCAACCCAACCCTGCCGCTCCTCTCCTCCATGCCTTAATACCAACATAAGAGGACAAGTGTGGGCTCTAAGCACCAGTGATCAAACACGAGCGGCTGCTGGGTGCGCTAGGCTCAGGACGGTTGGCCTAATAGGATTGGAAGCCCCCAGGTGAGCCAAAGGACACCTCCAATCAGCGTGATTAGCCAAGGGCTAAGTAGCATTTCTAGCTATAGCACTGAGTGATGTACAGTACTAAAAGGATCACATGGGTTGTGGAGGATGGAGGCAAGTCATGGATACGATTGCCATGGTTGATGGTGCATGTCAAAGTTTTGTGTGGGACTGATGGAGTTTAAAGTTGTGTCAAAATGATCTTGAGATTTTGACTGTTTGCTAATCATCATTAAGTTCACACAAGCATATGATGTGTGGGGCTTTGGAATAATCTTGTCTTTCTGGCTACTTATAAAAAAAAGTGCATGTTGTATACATGTATGCGCACAGCCTTAATGCAAGACTACACATGCATAGACACATAGACACAGATCTGCACACTCAGTAAGTCTCAGCATCCACACATTCAGTCACATACATACATAACACACCCAGATACACACACACACACACACACACACACACACACACACACACACACACACACACACACAGGCAGGCTTTTATAAACTCATCACATCCAAAAAACAATTACCAGAGACTGAGCTCATCACTGACTAAGCAAAAGTCATCCAGCGTGTAAAACACACAATATAATTAGCACACATCAAGCTGCTGTGTCCTACTGTGCATTAATGATGCTTCCCTCTGAAGTGAATTATGGTTTGATGAGTGAGAAAGTGAGTGAGGAGGGGCTTTGAGGAGGAGCAAGACATCATTTGGAAAGGGGAAGAAGAGAAGCCAGTGTGGAGGGGAAAGGGGTGAGTAATAAGATTCAAAACCTGGATTTGAGTGGTTTACTTTCGTTGACCTGCTCTCATTGCCTCAAAAACAATTATCTAGAGAGATATAAACATTCAGGGATAGACGATAGATTACTCACTTGTGGTGAGGGCCATCATATGCCAGGTTCCACAGGATACATCACATACCTACAAAAAATGTAAACAAATTTTAGCACATAGATGTATCAGCATGAGCCATTTTTATCTACAGACACCATGGGTCATCTTCCATGAACCACCATGTTTCTACAGCAGCCCAGAATGGACAAACCAAACACTGGCTTTAAATAGAGCCACTCTTTTTTTTATTCCTGGCATATTGCATTTCTGTTTACATAAGCTGTGAAAGGCTAAATACCTTCTGTGACATCATTATTTGGGGTGTTGTTGAGAAGATCTACTGACTTCAAACTTTACAACTTACAGAAAACAGTGCAGTCCAGAAAACATAATGCGTCCAGTCTTTCTCATACGCACCTTTTCACCTGCCAGTGGAACAGGCTGGGGGGTCCAGAGCCTTTTGAGGCCTGGATGATCACTGACCCGGGACACACAGGGGATCTGACCCCAGAGAAGCAGCTCTCCACCTACTGGAGATATTAACAAAAGGGCAAAATGTTCAGACAGATGCATCAGAAATATAAACAATGTCACCTTGCCACATATTTTATATGAAAACTTTTATCTCAACTATGGAAAGTGAATAAGACATATAATGCCTTTGTATGCACTTCCCATGTTTCTGACCCTCTCCACGGTATTGACAGATTGTCATTTTGTAGGTCCCTGATCATATGTATATGACAAGACACATATTTTGTTGTCATGTTGGAAAGATAAGGGCCAGAAGTGGTTGTCCCTCTTCAGTATCCCTGGGGTCATGAGGAAACCAGACCCCAGCCTACCATAGATTCAAAAAGAAACAGTGACCCCTAATTAGGAACAGTTAAATGGAACAGAGAATTACATCCCATCAGTTTAGTTTAGTTTAGAAGAGGGAGTTGATGTACAGCACTTTATTGAGACGGAAACCCCACCCACAAACCACACACACACACACACACACACACACACACACACACACACACACACACACACACACACACACACACACACACACACACACACACACACACACACACACTCACCTGTCTTCCTGGCGTGCCGAGCAGAGGGAACACATTCTCAGTTGGCACTTATCAAAGACACACACACAGACACAGACACACACACACACACACTGCATGTACTCACATACAGCAAACACTCAAGCATCCACTCACTCATGCTACCTCTGTCTGCCTGTTTAAACCTGCCACTAATAAATTTATATTTACTGCCTGCATTGAGGACTTTTAAATTATGGCATACAATAAACCTGGCACACACATCTCCAAAGCTCTTTCAGGGGATGTTAAAGCAATATAGTAAGCAATTTTCCAAAGTGGATTACAAATTTCACATCCAGGTTTTATTGCACATTACGATAACTTAACCACATCTAAATGTTCCGCATAAATGGGAAATATGTGCTGCTTAATATGCTATTTTTCATTTTTTAAGAAGCGCTTTGCAAACCCTGCCAAGCAAGGGAGCATGCTGGTTTGTGTGGTGGGGGAGTCAATAATCTTTATGAGGTGGATTTTAATTACAAGGAGATAACTGAGTATCCTCCTCACGGCAAGCCTCCATCAATCTCTATTCTGCATCAAGCTGTACGTAGCCTTGGCACGCACACACACACACACACACACACACACACGCACACGCACACGCACACACGCGCACACACGCGCACACACGCGCACACACAGACACAGATACCCTTTCAGACATGATTGATCAATCAATCAGTATTGTATTATTTTCATCTCAGCGAAGCAAACGTTATAAAAGCATGTGCAGCAGGCGTTGCTAGATGACGTTTTACCACACACAGAAACACACCAGTTTACACGACTAACACACGCATGTACATACACACACAAACTGACACAGAAACACACACACCCATACCGAGGCGCTGGCAGGGTAATCCAGCTAAAAAAGGTTACGGCTGATGTTTTCCCAAAGAACGACGGTCTGTGAAAGGTCAGATCAATCATGTGCTAAGCATGCCTCGTAAGCAATCCATAAAGAGCTTGTTTTAAATAATAACATTTTATAGATCACCTAAAGACATAACTGTACCACCGGCAGGTAGGGCTGCACTCTTCAAATAGTCTTCAGTGCAGCAAGAATTCAAATGGGACCAAACTTAATATGTTGACTGCAGTTCATTTAATGAACCAGTGGCATTTCCAGTGGAACCACGCGCACAGTGCCAGCAGACGTCTCTGTTCAACAATAGGCAATTCTTTTAACAGAATATTGCAGTACAGCAGTTGGCTGTAAATGTGCCCTGGTCTTGAAACAAGTACAATGCCTTTTCTCTTTAAGTGGCTGATGTTACATTTGTAGTGTAACCACTTTAATTCCAGCTGTCTGGCAGAAGGCAAGCAGCAATTGAAGAAGAAGTAGTTGCCTGACACTTTGTAATGGTGTAAATGCATTAGAACTAGTTTTGTGGCAGTTCAATGACTCTCTATGGAGCAGAGGAGAGATGAATCAGATTGCTGAAAACCATACAAGATAGAGAATAAGAGAGTGAAAGGTAAAACACATACTATCTGACTACGGGTTTTTAAGTTTAGTCAGCAAGGAGGGCTCTGAGTTTGGCTTTTTAGGAATGACAGGAAAGACAGCAGGCCAGTGCAAAAGCTGATATAAAGAGATGGTGTTCCTCCTTATCTCTCAGTCTTATTAATAACAAAGTAGCTAATGGGATAGTCAGAAATCTTAGCAGGGTAGTTTAGGGGATAGCTGGTTGAACAACAAATCAATTCATTATGTACATCATCTATCACATAACACTACTGGGTGCAGTATTGCACAATTTTGCTTGGTTTAAGAGATATTGAGAGCTAATGAGGTTGGATTTGTGCTCCGAGTGATGTCATTTGAGGACACTGAATCCTTGTAGTGTTAATTAAAACTCAATGAAATGATGTAGATGAAACATTTGCATGGCTGAGAGCCACAGTGAGGGATACTGCTGGGAAAATAAGGTTTTTAAGTTAATAAGTTGTTATTATATTATGTAGGGTGAATACAACTATTAAGGATTTTTTTTTAAATATAGACATCTGCAGTGACAATTAGCCATTTGGATGTTAGAGTTAAGCTTTTGTTTAATTGTGCTTCACACTTTTAGGCCAAAATAATACAGACGATAGAAAGATGAAGCCACTCTGGGCTACCACAGCGGGTTGGATGCTTGACTCACCTGTTACTGCTGCACTGTAGCTGTCCCCTGCTTGTATCTGTGTGACCTCAGCTAACTGAGAACAGCTGAGAAGACAAGGGGTGGAGATATGAATCCTGTCCTCTCCAAGTCCAAGCTGCCCCTGCAAGCAAAAATAATGACACAGCATCAGTCATATGATTAAATAAAGATAGAATAGTTATATATAGTAATAAAGACACATGGCGAAGCGGTATTTCAATTTTGGGGAAAGGACCATTTTCCTATTTGTGTGGCTCCAGCAAGTGACTCAGAACTACTTCATCTTTCATATCACCCTAATTCATGCTGCCCTGCCATTCCTGAATGTAAACATGGTTGTTAGATTTGTCAAATAGGACTTGTATATCACCTCTGGAGTATCATAATTTAAGTGCATCTTTGTAAAGCCCTGTTATAATATCTGCTGTGTAAGGTTATATATGACACCGGCAACTGGCAATTCATCTTGTCTCAAATGGCTGTCACTGAGGAGGAAATACTGTTAAAAAAGGCACACTGCACATTTCTTTCACCCGCCAAAAGTCTACTGTGTTTCATGTTTCATTTACCATCAATGTACAACTACTTGGCAATGCAATCCCTCATCGATGAGTGTAAAAACTCTACTCAAACACAAAGCCTTGTGCAGTACAATAGAATGTGTTGTCCTCAATTTACATCTCTTTCTTTGTGTTATAAATGGTGAGGGTGTTCAGTTTGACTTCTCGGAGCCATCCTGCTCTTCTCTTTCCTGCTTGCTCCTGCAGAGATAAAGGGCTTTCTGCACTGTGCTCATGTGCACATCGGCATGCCCTGGCATATGTTTGAAAGTGAGCACAATATGTGTGGGTTTACATTTGAGTGTGTGTGTGCGCCATGCAGTAATCTGGGTCTTTAATTGCTTATTCGTATGTGTGCTACTGTGAGGATTTGTAGATGCGTGGCAGCATATGTTCCTGCTGTGAGTGTGTGTGTTTATGTATTTATAGGTGTGAGTGTTTATGCTTCCATCAGAGTGTGTGTGTAAGTTTACTTGCACTTAGGTACAGGTAAGTGAGCAGATGTGTCCATACCTGAGTTTGTGCACATGTTTGTGTGTCTGCATGTGTTTATACTTGTACATGTGTATTTTTTTGTGTGTCTGAGTGAATGAGCACTGTCAGGTGCTGCTCCATGCTGTGCCAGCTGCATCTGGAGCCATCTGTGTTGGGGCTCAGTGGGAGGGAAGCGGATGACTTTAATGTACTTGAACCCCAGACAGACCTTTCCCAGACACTCGTCAGTATGAAACCAAGACAACTGGGCCCAGTCAAGCTGAACCGGCTGATCTGGGTGGTGAGCAGGAGACAGACGCTTTGGTTACACTGTAACCCCCGGTCAGACTCACTAGGGAACCTCTGGCAGTCAGATACACACAAACACTGGAATCTGTTTGTTTCAATGATAGAATAGTAGTGTTTTATATCAGAGGACACTCTCACCTTTTCTTAGCTGTCAGTGGTCTGCTGCCTACTTTTTACAATGTAATCCAGGTTTTTTTCATGTGTCTGTGCGCCTACAAGTTAGTTTGTCCAAACACATATGTGAACAGAATAAGAAGGCTTGCAACTTGACTTTTGACTTTATAATTTCTTAACTTTTGACTCAAAATACTAACTAGAGGAAATTTCTCACAGAATTTGGTTCAGATGTGTGGTTTTGAAAAACCGGTAGCATATCAGAAACAAACTTTTGGTCCAGTGTTGAAATTATAGTCCTTCTTTTAGGTCAGCAGGAGTTATCTTGATGTGTTTTTGAATTAAAGAGTACAAATGTGTTACAAAAATAGTTTTAGGTGTCGAGGATATATCTGCAGAGAAAATGGGATGCAGAAAAAGAAGGTGGGTTGATGAGGTATAACAGTTTGTACTGATATTATTTGTGTCAAAATATATTTAATTTATTTTCAAATCTAGCTAATGTTTGCACTATTTGGTTATGAATTTCTAACTTCAGTGGCATTTACTCACTTTTATTTTTGAAATAATTGATAAAACTCATCACTCACTAAAAAAAATACAACTAACTATTCTTATGATGTTTACATGTAGAAATTGCATTAACTTGATAAAGAATGCATTATGACTACTTTAGGACTTGAAACCTTAAGTTCAGCCTTGGGTTTTGCCTTTATTGACTTAGGCCTTGATTGTCAGGACTTATTTGTGACTTCCCCCCTCTGTAGCCCTCTTATTCTCAATACACTATCACGTAATAAAATAGCATGATATCTATTCAAAATGACAACTATACTCAACACTCAACACCCACAAAACTAAGCAGCAAAACAGCACAGTATCTCAACACACAATCTTCCACCACAAAGAGATCACAGAGGCCTAGTAATGATCTTGCAGCAACAATATGATTAGTGAAGCACAAAATCAATTAATGCAGCAGTAGAATCAATAGGTGTCTCTCAGCATATATGTCCTGCAGTTAATTAATAAACAAAAAGGACATTAAGCAGCAGAGCATCAGACTGTGGCAACGACTGTCATCAGTCACAACGTGTGTACTGATGGCATCAGCAGGAAGGGAAAGGGAAAACATGGACAGATATAAATGTGAGGATGGCGAAATGCCGAACACACCCACAGGCAAAGATGCTTACACTATGTACACATACATCTGAGAGCATGCATAGACACACACTAATATACAAATGCACTCACGCATGTGCCCTCACACACGTACACAAAGACATGTTGTTGTTTTTTTCTCTTTCTCTTTTTTCCACCCTTATTTTCATTCACACAGAGGGAATCCTGTAGACTCATGGTATCAATAATGCTCATTTTACTCCACTGTAGCAGCCCAGGCCATATTAGCATCAATTTGGAACAGGCCCAGGGTTCGATGAGGCCTGAACTGTGCTGGAACCAGGCCCGGGGTTTCCACCACCACCAGGCCGGCTCACTTATTATTTACCATGCCTGATGAGCAACCCTCATCATTACATCACAGACAGGATTGCAGTTGACAGAGTGAATGGCCACACTGATCTAAAGCGATACCTTAGACATACATAAACACATAATACACTTTCCCTGATTGAATGAATGAAACCTTTATTGCCCTACAGGGGAATTTGCTTTGCACAAAGAGCATAAAATAATATGAAAAAAACATATAACATGATCGATAAAGGACATCAAGTGCAAAGTCAATTTGTTTGATGATTTATGTGAAACTGTTGCACTCGCATTTCCCTCTCCGCTTTCCTGTTCCTAGTTCTAAATTTTTTCCTGAGTATCAAATATTTATTCCAGGAAGACTGGTAATGCAGATATTCTCCAATCTGTAGCTCATCTCTGTACCATCATCTGCTTTGTATGAGAGAACGGTTTTCTTTCCTTGCTGTCTACCTCATTATTTAGGCTGCTTAGAGCTCGCATTAGAAGTCTATTGGATTGTTATGTCAGTTCAGGTCTGGTCTGGTTGAACTTCCTGACACAAGGACAGCAGACAGTTGACCCTGTTATCACACAGCTGACATTAGGAATCGAGACATGACTCCCGACCGCATATGTAGATGTATTTGTCTGTACTACGTTTATGGCGTCAGTTACAAAGGCTAACGGTTTAATTCAATAACTAACATAATGTGAAGCAATTGAGATAACTATTTAGATATGAACATTTTGTTGCTTATTAAAAATAGTAAATGTAAAAGTGGTTGTTTACTCCACAAAACATCTGATATACCACTTTTAGTTCTCCTGCCTGTCCTGCTACTTATTTGTTACCCCTATTATGCTGTTACCATATTGATTCTGGCTGTGGCACACGCTCTCTGACATCATTCAAATTCCTTCTCACCTCAATCATGTGATACAGCACAGGCTGTCCGTCTTTTAGTCTCAATAGGAGGAAAACAATGAGATTTCTATCTGTAATACTATTACCAGCCGTAATAGGGTTAGAGCTGCCTGGGTTTACCTTGGTAAGGCAGCGGAAAACTTTATTAGGTTTAAGACCTTTTGCTTTTCTACTTTTTCTGCTGCTACTGATACATAAGAGCCTTTAAGCCCTAGAGAGAGGAAGGTATCAGCTTAGTAAAAAGAAGTTCAAGATGGCCCCTCATCTCACTTCTTCTCCAGTGACAAACAAAGTGTTATCTTTCAGGAGGTGGAACCTTTCTTATTTTTTTACATGTTGACGGGAGTAGTTTCGGTGTGGCACTGTGCGGCTGATTACAGGGGGAGTCTTAATCAGGTGGTGCAGTCTGCTCGGGGCCCCTGGGGCCGAGAGTGTGCTACATCCTGTCAGACTGCACAGAGAAACAATCAATCATCAGAACGGCTCCAAGACAGAGGAGAGAGAGAGGGCAGGGAGATAGGAGAGATGGAGGAAGAGGAGAAAAAACATGATGAGGGGAGAGAGGAAAAAGAGACGGTGCCCTTGCAGAGACTAGCACAGAGTTATAAAGATGCAAGAACACCTATGAAAATCCAATGAGTCTAGTTAGACTACAAGCCACCCTGCAATGTAAGAGCTCAGTGTGGAAGCCAAGGCCACGTCAACGCTCATAACAACTGATGTCTAACATTTTCATTGCTCCCCCTGTCTCTGTAACCTTCACCTACATGTTTGTTTCACTGCCCTGGCAAAGCGTCATCCTCACTGTCACGTTGTAAAAGTGATCACATTTTGGCCATGGTTTCAAACGACCTCACAGATAAACACCAAAGCCGAGAGGAAAAAGAATCAGAGAGAGAGAGAGGAACAGAGGGATTGAGGTGGGCCTAGGTTTTACACTCTCTGGGCTCTGTCTGAAGGCTGTGTAATGATGCGGCTCTTTAAAGAACGTCTTAAATGAAAGGCCAGAACAATCCTCGGTGACAGGTGGGATTCTTTATCTAACAGAGGAGGAGAGACAGACAGGGCCGACACACACACACACACACACACACACACACACACACACACACACCCTCTTATGGCCATTTTGGCTATGTATGTTCAAAGGGGCATGCTCATACATAAACTACACTACATCCCAGAAAGAGGATTTCCTGCTCTGTGTATGTGAATCAAAGAAGTTGAAATGGTCAAACAGAAGATCCCATAAAGGTGATTTATAGAATTTAAAAAGATGTGCGTTCTTGGCACACCATGAAGGATATTAAGTGCTCAAAGGGAGGGCTCGGACACAGATCCCTCCAAAATCTTTTAATCTCCACTGTGGAAGGAAAAAATATATTCTCAAAATGTCTCAAAAATGGAAGAGAGACGGACAAAGAGAGAGAGAACACTTGTGATATGAAAAAAGCCTTGAGTCCAGTGTTGTTCTTAGTCTGTCTCGCCTGGCAGGGCCAAAAGTGGAAAAATGTTTGGCTTACCTCTTGCCCCATCCCCCAGGAGAAGACATTCCCACCATCTGAAAAAAAAGAAAGAAAGAGCGAGAGACAGGGTGAGAGAACGCAGTAAACCAACAGTCTGCAAACAATTCAAAAAAAGCAACAAATAGAAGCCTGGGGTTAAAATAGAAAAGAAAAAGAAAAAACAAAAGCGGGGAGAGAGAAGGGAAATGCGCAGCTGACAAAAGTGGCTCAAGCATCATACATCAAGCACTTGTTACCTCTCCCGGTGCTTGTGATTGCACATGACTGCAAACAAGTCAGTGATAAAAATCTGAAGAAAGATGAGACCGATCGGGCTGGCTTTAAAGATCATCAATCACGGCCCTGTAAGCTCAGATATTATTAGTTCAAGTAAAGCTGCACTCTTCCATTTTATGGACATCATAAAAGACTTTGGGGGGGGTGGAGGTGGAGTGAAGGAGATCCCCCAGTGTTTTAACTAGGACTGGGATGGATGTGTTTGGAAAAGCAGACCGGATGGATGGACAGCTCTAATGTAGTAGCGCTAAATGAATCACTCACACTACACCAGGTTCCCCAGGGGAAGGAATGTGGGATGGGAGCGTAAGGCCCCACTTACAATATGTTAGAGTAAGTAAAAGTGTATGGTAAAAAGGGCCGTGCATGTTTGTGTGGGGTCACATGTGTGTATGTGTATGACCTCTTGTCTCATCACCATAATAGTGCCATTGTGTTTTTGCATTTATAGTACATGGTGTGACTTGAAAATGAAGTCATTGAATGTACGTGTAACCAGTCGGACAAGTAGGAAAGGCACATCCGATGGTACCTGTTGGATCACAAACGATCGCAAATTATCTCCAAAATCTATCAGTGATCTGTCCCCAGAGAGATAAATCTGTTCAAATAAATCTGATTCAAGAAGGCAATAACAGGTGCACACAGTGTGCTCAGTTTTACTGGCAAATGTGACACTTTTATTAATCTTCTGATGGGTACTTCTTTTACAATAGAGTATCATAACTTGAGTGATGACTAATGACAGTTAGTTAAAATATTCATGTGGTCTTGGTTAAGTTGGGAAAAATATTCATACCCTCACATAAAAAACATTGTAGCAGCATTAGATCCCTAATCCAAAGTGCCATGTGGCCATGCATTTCTTTAAGGTGTAATGTGCTGTGACCTATAACAAGTACATCAGCGTTAAGACTCTAAAAATCTCCAAGACAAATTGTTGTCAATAGCGACAAGTTTTTGCTCCAAAAAGAAAAAAAGGCCTTTCTGAATTTTTAAACTTAACCTGAGTTTGTACTAGACACTTTACATATGTTTTATATTTTTTATTGCTCAAAGCACATTAGATATGTAGTTTTTAGGTAATACTTGAACATGAACTCACTGATGTAATCTGTATTACAGGAAAGGATCTTAGCATTACCTTTTGTATACGTTTTAAAGTGTGTGTACCCCAACACCTGTTCACTAACAGTGTATCATTATCTGTTGAAGAGCCATTATCTTCTCCTGAATGTTACTCGTTTCAGTCAGCCTTTAAATATACTATGACGATACACAAAACAATGGAAACATGTCTAGCAATACCTACGGTCACATTGATGAACTTCATTCTTACTTTCAACTGTAAACTGTTTGTCAACCCGTACCACTGCTCCCCGAGCAATCTCCGTTTTCTATTTCACTTATTCCTCAGAACTTTTTTTCTTTTCTCTCTTTCTCTCTCTGCCTGCCAGTGAGGACATAAAGGCTAGTGTGAAGTCCATCACTGCTTGGTGAATAGCTGCCCTTTGTGCCTCAGAACTTAATTCACAGCCTGAAAGGACCCCAGCGCTGCCATAGCACCTCTATGTGCTGCCTGATTTAAAAGAGCTTGCATGTCCACTGAAATCTGCCTGAAAGCCTTCTGTTAGGTTAAATACACCAGGTTTAGTCAACTGTTGATGACTGACCAGTATGGAAATAGCATTCCATATTGTATTTTTTTTTAACTTTTTTACACTAAGCTGTGAATATAAACAATTCTGGTGCCAACACTGGTCTCGCAGTCACTAACGTCTGCACTGTTGTCAAGGAAACCTGACAGTTGTTTTCATGGTGGCCTTGACCTTATTCGGTATATAGACCCCCTCACTCCTCCATACATTACCATTTTGAGAAACCAAAAGCAACATCATTTGGTGTTACAACCAGCTCATGGTAACGATGTGATTAGGGGGTTTGTCCAGTAAGAAAGTACTTGTGTTACTATTTGGAGCAACATAACTTTTCTTTTCTCCTACTTTGGCATTTGTGGTTGCAGAGGGCATCAATAACACACCAACCTCTCTCCCTGTCTTTCTCTCCTCTCTCAGAGACCCTTGCCGGGCTTGTTAGGCCTGACACTGGCACCTTAGTGAACAAAAGGACTGCACGGCTTAGGGCTGCCCAGGAATGTCAGCGGGTTCACATTTCACATGCAGATGCGTGACCCCAGAGCCCTTTAGTGGGAAGGTGCGCTTTAACCTCACAGAGAAGCAAGAGGAGGGGGAACGGGGGTAAGGGGCACCTTAAGGGGAATCTGGGATGGGGGGAGGGGGTAAAAAATAAGAATGTCTGAGTTTGCACTGCTTGCATCTGCTCTTACAATGCTATATGTCTCTCCCCGTGTCTGTCTTCTCCCTGTCTTTCCCAAAACACTGATGCACACTGTTAAACTCCGCTGATATACCTTATAGAATATTATAATTGTCGATATTCTGAAAACTTGTCAGTGCTGTCTCCTTTATGTGTGATCTGTGATGCGCCCCCTCTCTTCCCCCTACTTCGGAGCACATGAAAGCATTAACTTTTAAAGTGCATACTTAAGATTTCTCCCCAAATAATTGAAAAAGCACAATGGGAGGGGTTATGTAAGGCAAAAGTACTGTGAGCTCTGCAAAAGAAACCAAAGCTACTGTCATCTGCTCTCTGTAGGCCCAGGCAGGCACAGTTTCAACTCAAGGGCTTCACACTTCTGTAACTTGTTCTCCTTCCCTCGCTGCTCTCCCTATCCTAACTCTCTCTATACCCATTTGCCTCTCCCTCTCTCCTTTGCTCTCGATAGTGAAAACTTCAAAGACAACAAGATCTTCTGCAAAAGCATGAAACTTCAAGCTCGTTGTTTGTTTTGACCCTGAAGCCCCTTGCCACAACCCTCCACCTTCAACTTGCAAGTCCTGCAAAATACATGAGTAAGAGAGACCAAATCCAGAACAGCTTTTTTCTCCCCTGCCCGCCTGCAACCTTCATTCTTCCGTGCGCTACTGTTGTGTAACTTTTGTAGAAAGCAGCTCTGGCACATGGCACTGCATATACTACAATGACCTCACAAAAGTGATGACAAAGTACAATAAGTTTCTTGTGAGGCAGAGGAGTATAAACTTTTCAAATACATTATATATTCCACTAAGAAAATGAAAATAAAAATCAATGTCACACAAACGTGCATGCACACACACCCTCACATTTATACTTCCACACTGACTCATCTAGCTTGGCCTCTGAAGGTGTCTGAGTTGAGGATTGTAGTTCTGATTTCTTTTTGAAAGGTACAAAAGGGCTTCATCTATCAGCAAGTTGCTGCCTGCAGCCTGGCTCGGATCTGTCATAACAGGGAAATAAAGCCAATAAAACCTTATAAAAAAATACACAGCAGTAAAAAACTATAATGTTAACAGTAACCTAAGATGACAATAAATAAAAATCAAAAGAGGACACTTTCAAGTTTATAATATTGTCTTGTCATCTTGTTGAACAATTATGCTTAGATTAGTACAATGTGGTGTATTTAGGTGCAAAACATGACCTGCTGTACACAGACACCATTTCTCCCACTGCGTCTTATTATTATAAGGAATCACATCACTTATTATTCCTTGCACTTCTAACAGAGAGGGTTATTCTGGTACAATGCAACGATGGTGTTTAAAACCAGTCTTAAAAATTGCATATATTATGTTGTTAACCTGTCATCAAAACAATATCACTATCGCTCTCATTATTACTGTCAATTTCAGTGCTTATCCAAGTCAGAGATTTTATTCTGCAAAGAAATTATTCTATATTCATGTCAGAGTGCTTAATTGTTTATCTGTATAGTCTACACCGTGTGTGTTTGTTTGTGTGTGATTGTGTGTGTGTGTGTGTGTGTGTGTGTGTGCGTGTGTGTGGTTGTGTATACTGTGTTTAGCAGTTCTGCCCTCTAATAGTTGAGACATCTATAGCATCCACAGCAAGGCCAGGGGAGCAAGGGAGCAATCCATAGGCCTGCGTAGCCATGGCAACTAAACAAGGAATAGGCTAGATGTCAGGCGAGCATGGCTAAATTACCCATTAGAGAAAGCAGGAAGGGGAGAGAGGGAATACTGGTCAGGGCACAAGAGGCTAATGGGGAGATAAGATGGCCAACATATAGACTACACACACAACCACACACACAGGCACACACAGGCACACACACACAAACACACACACATACACACACACACACACACAGATAAAATGATGGGAACAGATAGTGGGTTGTCCCATAAATGTGCCGATGCAAACACACACTGAAATAGCAAAATACAATTAAATGTGTACAAACTTACAAATAGGCATACAAACACAATGCGCACATTTATTAACACACTCATATGCATATGCTGATATGCACATATAGGCAACTACGCGCACACAAATGCAAAAACACAGGCACACACACACACACACACACACACACGTGCACACATACACACAAGCATACAAAGGCCACAAAGGGAAGACAAAATGGTTTTAATGAAGACGCCCTCTTTGAGAGGTTGCTTGTGAATGTGAGGGAGATGTATTTATAGGAATCCTCCTGTGAGATCCTCTCTGCTCAACCTCACATTTGTGCACGAGAGAGGGAGAGAGAGAAAGAGAGAGAGAGAGAGACAGAGAGGCTGTGTTATTGCCTGTTTCTTCATCCTAATCCTTGATGCATGGCCTACTCTTTGAGTCTATACTAATGAATAAAAGAATAAAGAAAAAAATT